TTCCCAGTAGAGCACATGGAATAAAAAGCTTCACAGCAATGATTAGTTCTCTAATGAAGCTAGTTCCTGCAACTGATGCTCAGGAGGTCGTTTTCTAATAGAAGTCACAGTGAGAAGTGGATTTTCTTAGGGTATGAGCTCATCTCCTTGGCAAAGATCTTGTTCTAAATTAAGGATAGAAGAGCTCTTACAGATTGCATGTGGGGCGCAGGAGCTGAGGTAATACAAGTGTTGCATCGGGCATCATGTTAAAGTGAGAGCTGAGACACAAAGCAGCCGTCATCTCTCAGCAGTAATCATGATGGCAAGGAATCAGAATCTAAATGAGGTCCTCTGTAGATATATAAAAAAATATATATCACAATATTTGCAATGGTGAATGGCGAAATATGAAACTTTTTTATGCAAGGTGTAATTTGACTAAAAGTGTAAATGTGACAAGGAATCTAGAAATGTTTTTATTTTTAAAGAAACAAGAACAATTAAAACTGCAAGCGTGATGAAGGGCCCTCGCACCCCGGTGCATGTCGGGGTGTGTCGCGACCGCGGGAGAGCAGCAGCTGTGGAACGTGGCTAAGCAGCAGGCCGTGCAGTTTGATTTGTGTAAAAGCCGTAGTACTGGTATGTTGGCAACGTAATAAAGATCCTGTAAAATTTTGACTTATAACAGTTCAGGCTGGCACTGTCATGATAGCTATGAAATTGAGCATTGTATATAGGATGTAGTACTTACTCTTTGCAGTAGCTCAGTCTTTAGGGACTTGGGTTGGGAACCAGAGGGTCACCGGTTCAAGTCCCAGTCCTTGTTCCAGCTGGTAGCTGGAGAGGTGCAAGATCACCTCCTGAGCACTGCCACTCACTCTGACATCTCTCCATTAGTGCATGTCCATAGGATCCTGTTTCTGCATGTGTGTGTATATTTCAGCCTGTGTATGTGTTCATGACTTACAGAGTGTAAAAACTGAAATTTCCCCTTGCGGGGATCAATAAAGTAAATCTTAATGTTAATCTTATGGTTGAAGTGGCTTTTTTGTAGGTTTTGTCATTTTAGAAATGCATATTAAAATTCAGAATTGTAGGTTCAACGTGCTGCGGGGGCTGAATGTTTGAAATATTGTAGGGGGCGCCACTGAGCCCCCTACAATATTGTGAGCCATGCCCATTCACTTAAACGGTATAAGATTTTTTTTGACATAACTACCAGGATTATATGTGTGAAGTTTCGGGACAGTATGACTATGTTAAGCCTGTGAAAAAAGTACTTCCTGTTTGATGGCGAGCGACGCGTCCGTATGGCGACAGCGTTGGACGTAGGCATTTGAGCTTGAAAGTGTTGTATGGCCAAGGTGTTAGCGTGGTCCACACCAATTTTGAGGGGAAAATAAGCTACCGTGTAGCAATGGCTAATGCTAATTGAGAAGCAGTAACTTCCTGTTGTCAACAGTTGGCGCTGTGACTAATCAAAAAATGTCAATCATGGATGTGTTCAGGGCGGGTCCCGTATCATGCATGAGAAATTTTAATATGATTGAACACTAGATGGCAGAGATATAAACATTTACTTTTTTGGCAAGTTGCCAAAACGCCCCAAAAACTTAAAACGCACACCACGGTCACGCCCTTTGACGAAATAACGTGCAGCGCACAACAAGTTATGTTGAGCCTGTGTAGAACGCACTGACACTGAGTTTGCGCCGATCGGATGAGCGCCCTCGGACAAGTGCGTTCAAATAGGAAGGCTGAAATCAGGGATTTTGAGCGATTTTGTGAAATTCAACTTTAATTTGTGGACTTCCTGTCGGTTTTTTGAAACGCTGCAAGAAGATTTTTAGTCCGTCCCGACAAGCTTAATATGCGTACCAATTTTCGTGAGTGTATGTGAAAAAACCCTTTATAAATTTCAAGGGGGCACCACTGAGCCATTTTGTGAATTTTTTTTACGAAACCACCAAAATCTAAAGTTTTTCGCAAGACCTGATGACCGTGAAAAGTTTGGTGAGTTTTCGGGCACGTTCAGGCCCTAAAATGGCTGCAAAGAGGAGGAACAATAAAAAGAAGAAGAATAATTGCTAGGGTTTCAAGAGGGTCCTTGCACGGTTCGTGCTCGGGTCCTAAAAATGATCATTTACACCTTAAGCACACCTCTCTTTTAACGCCTGAATTTTGACTCTGTCTGATTCCAAATTTGGTGTGATCTTTGTTTAACTCTAGATTTTCTTCTTCTTCTAGATTTCTGATTGACAAAATGAGAAACACATACAGACTGAAATGTAGTTCTTCAGCTCTACACACATTTGCACCTTCAGTACAACAATTAAACCGCATAGTGTCATAGACTCCTGTGTGTGTAAGAGGAAACATAACTCTAAAAACATACAATACCTGAAATCATCTTTGTATTGGGATCCCCAAAAGCATTTCTGGGTGATACAAATTCAAGAGCAACACATTTTTGAAGCTTACTTGATAGTTTCTACGTACTTAAAAAAAAAAAAAACTCAACAAAGAAACCAGCAGCAAGCAAGCTCTGGCTGTGTAGGATGCTGTCCATGGTGCTGAACTCTAGTGCTGTGGGCTTATGACTGCTCTTAAAAAATCATGTATATATGCACCATAGACATATCTCAAAGAGAGGCTTATGTGAGATCCTGCATGCAAACAATATTGCAAAGTTCAGTTGGTTGATGTCTGGTAACATTCATCATATTTTTTTTAAGATCACTATTCTTTATGTTATGGGGATGTAATTTGTAGCTTGACATTAATCCTCAGCCTTTGCTCAGTTGGTGGAGTCGGTCTTCTCTTAATCGGAAGGTTGGGGTTCAATCCCCAGCTCCTGCAGCCACATGTCAGATGTGTCCTTAGTCAAGACACTGAACCCTAAATGTCTTCTTCTGCTTCGTTGGGGAGGTATGAATGTGTATGAAAAGGATTGGTTAATACTGATGGACTCTTTACATAGCAGCCTTTGACATCAGTGTGTGAACGGGTGTGAATTGGGTAAGTGTGACCCTCATATCTGTGTTTTAATCACACTCTCTGATTTTTTAAAATATTAATTATGTACTGTACATGAGGCCGAGGTGGTGAACTTGTTAACAAACTTTGAGTCCCACATCCTTGGTGCAGTGTGGAATGTAGCTCTTGCAAGGCAGCCTCATAACACGAATAAAAGGAATTACCTTTGGACATGTTTAAAAGATAGAAAAACCAACCTGAAGGGTAATCTGCAAACACAGTCAGAAAAGATTAAAATGCACTGCTTGAGGCACATAGCATTCAAAAATGATCACCAGGAGAGTAGTTTGGAAGGTAGTTTCTTGTTATTTTTGACATTAACTTCAAGGCTGACTGATCTAACCTCACAATGAAAATCTCTTTTTATCTCCCACAGGCTCATCAAGTTTACATTCATGCAGAGGTTTGTAGCCTTGATTTAAGTGGTTTAAATCCTTCCAATTATTACAGTCAGCTTCTTTTTACCCAAAAGCTGAATTCAAATTACAAGAACAAATGAATACATTCTTGTTTTTGTCAGGGTAGCTGGTTTTATTTATAGAAGACCAATGTGACAGATCTGATAAGAATCAGAGCGGCTAGTCTAAAAGACCACATCAAGTAATGTGTTGTTTTAAGAGTTATAGTCTTTAGGATTTACCTTTTGTCCACACTGGTGACTCTGATTGCTTTAATAGTTCTTGAAGTCCCCCCTGCCCAAAACGCCCTGCCAAGTGAAAAACTGTCAGACTTGCTTCTTCACACACGGAGGGCTTGGAGATCTTAAGGTCTTAAAGGAGTTTTTCTTCTTTCCCAGCTGCTTTTGCTCCCTCCTGCTGGAGATTAATTCCTCTTCTTGTGCTATTTTACAGGAGCTAGTGTTCAGATTTTTGGGGTTTATAATTTTCTCTAAAACACCAGTGTGATTGGGATCACTTATCTTATCTGTCAGCTGCAGACTGCAAGCAAAAACATCAACCCTATGATCTGCATGGCCATCATATTTGCAAATATATGAATCAGACACCTTATAAAACAGGCAATAGACCTCAATTCTGTTGCAACTGGTGCATAAAAAGCTACTGATTTATCTTTGAATTGCTTTTGTTTGACTGAAGAAATGTAAGAAAGGCAAGTAGCGCAATATAAAGACCTTTATGTAGTTGCTTAGGAGAGGTTGGATAAGGATGATTAAGGCAGCTTAGCGAACCCATGTAATTGGCTCCAAAATGCGTAAACATTAAAAGAGCTCTGATGAGGTTGAAAAGTGAAATGTAGGAATAAATGGAAGCATCATCAGTGGGACTAATTTTTCCAGGTAGAGGGACACTTAGCAGTACAGTCGATCCTCCTCTGAGTAAAAGGATGTAGCATTTATGAGCTCATTGTTTGAAGTTGTTGTTTTGCCAGCATGCCGTGCATTTTCAAGTACTTGGCAGAGAGAGCTAAATGAACGGTATCATCATAGGCAGTGAATGAGAGCAATAGAGAAGAGGAAAAGTAGATTGTGAAAGAAGTTTTCATCTGTCATGACGCGAACAAAGCTGCCATGTAATTTACGAGATTGAAGAGAAGAGACGGAAGCTGTAAATTGCACAGTTTCCGTCCCTGAGATATTATTTTGTCCTGACGTGCACATTTTCCATTGATACATGCTGGGAAAATGGAGCTGTTTTAGACACCCCCCCCCCCCCATTCCCTTTTCACTCCTGCTCTCGCTCTCCATCTTATGAAGGATGATGAATGACATGGATGAATGGTAGAAGGAGGGAAACAGGGAAGGTGCATTACACTGCTTTTCTCCTGTAATACCTTTATGGTTCTTTCAAACAAGGAGCTTTGCTGCACTTATTATTTACTTTCTTACACAATAAATAACTTGTGGAAGGATCAACAGTGTACTTCTAGACTTCAGACCTCAGGAACCTCAAGTATAACATACACACTAATATTGTCCTCTATATTCTCTCTCTGTCTGTCCTGTCTATGTCTCTCTCCCTCAGGCTCAGTGTCCCTCAGTGTGTTCCTGGTGTCTGTTGCGGTCGTTGTGTGTGCCGTTTGGCTGGTAGCTCTATGTGGAGTCTGCACCTGGTGCCAACGTAAACTGGTAAGTTATAGTGTTTTTATTCATATTTCCGGAAGTATATTCAATATTTATCTGCAAGGACCAGTGTGTAAGACATTGCATCTATTGGGATATATCTATTTATGGAGTTTTATATTCCTGTGTACTTCTCAATTACTATAGAACACCTGAAAATAATAACTGATGTGTTCTCAATGGGTTTGAATGAGCCACAGACACAGGATGTTTCTACAGTAGTCCTAGATGGAATAATCAAACACAAGCTCTGTAGAGGGCATCTCTTCTGGACAGATGCCACAAGTGCTAGACATGGTCCTTCAAATCTTTCAGAGAGATATATATAGATAAATATATATATATATTTTAAATGTCTTTATTGGTTTGCACAGAGGATAAGAACACATACAGTTGGCATAGAGTTGACATTGTACTGTGGGTCATCTTTTGTAAACCCCATTCCTGCCTTCACCCGCCCATCCTGATCTTTTTTTAACCAGAGGTCACTATAAACCACAACGCTTTCAGGATTTTTATTAAAACTTCACTACTTAGTTAATAGTTGGTTGACAGTTGACACTTTTTCGGAATACCAAACACACTCTATCTCACTCTAGACTCACACACTCTAGATTTTGCCACTGCGGGGTGCTGGTGGCGCAGTGGTTAGTGCATGCGCCCCATGTATGGAGGCTGGTCTTCCAAGCGGGCGGCCCGGGTTCAAATTCAGCCTGTGGCTCCTTTCCCGCATGTCTTTTCCCACTCTCTCTCCCTGATTTCCGACTCTATCCACTGTCCTGTCTCTCAATTAAAGGCTCAAAAAGCCCAAAAATAAATCTTTTAAAAAAAAAAAGAAAGATTTCGCCACTGCAAAGATGTTAATGGTATCACTGTAATCTTAAAATGATAAATGGATTGGACAAAACAAGAGACTGAATAGTATCTCCTAGGGCTATAGGCAAATAAGATAGCAAATAAGAAGCATTTTATTCTTCTTTTCTGGAGAGCAGTCATGGAAATGGAAAAATAACTGATTTTAAAAATCCTGAAATTTCTTTCAGACAAGTTTATCAGGAAAATATTATAGCAACTAGTAGATTGTTCCGTCAAAATTAAACACATCACTAAAAAATCTTCTAAATGAGGTTTTCTACAAAATTAATAAAAAATAAAAAAAAACACAGAAAAGACACATCTCCGTATACTTCCACGTTCTCTTCCAACACGTCTCTGTCCAACCACCATTGTTCATGGCTGAGATGAATTGCAGTAGTGTGGGCAGTCTGATTTTCTTTTGATGACTTTGTGACCTTGAATTGAATGTATACAGTGATTGCCTGCTTTGTGTCGTTTGTAGAAGAGTGTTTTTCTCCCCCTGTGCTCTCTGCACACAGCAGCAGAGAGAGGCTGTATGTTTGGCCATGACAGCAAACATGATCTGAGACCTCAGTGCTTTCTGTAAACATGGCTTTGTGCGCTCTGAGCTTTGTGCATCATGGCTGTGTGCCTCTGGCCTCCAGCGCCATGCTAATGATTCATATGCTAATGAGCATCTCTCTGAGCTATTGGCTGCTGATGTAGAAACGGTAATTCTCCCATACATTTTGATCTGCTGGCATTTCATACACTCGGTCCTCCCTTTTGTACCCTCTCCCATCTGTCCATCCCGCTGTTTGAGGAGGGACTGCAGCTTAGCGATTGATCAAAGACACAAAAGCTGGGGGTTAACTGGCCTATTCAGAGGAAAATAACAAAAATACATTTTCTGGTCTTTTGGGAAGCACTCTGGGCATACGTTTTTATGTATGGAAGGCGCTATGTAAATAAAGCTGAGTTGTGTTGAGTTAAATGAGACAATTTTCCTCAGAAACATTTCTAACAGCAGACTTGTCTATGCTAAGTGCTATTTAAAATCCACAGTGCTATTATTGGCTTGCAGTAACGAAAACCCTGGAACAAACAAACCCACTCAATGTCTTTGTTTATCCTTGTGTTATCTATGTCTATGTCTTTGTTTTTGTCTCACCCTTCTTCAACTTCTATACCAAATAGTCTGGTTTGTATTTGTCCCTTTGTCTCTTTATCTCATGTCCTCGTCAGAATGTCACTGATTTCTTTTTCCAAGATCATCCCTCTCTTCTCATCCCTGCTGCCATTGCAGTTACCCTTCAGAGACCTTGCATCTTGTTTTTAATCTTCCTTATTGTAATCTTTTGTTTGTTGGTGTGCTGCTTTTCTAAAGTTAAAAAACAAAACACAACAGAACCTACAGGTAAGAAACATCCAAAGAATGTGCCAGGAGTAAAAAGTATCAGAGGTACCATCTATTAAAATGCTGATCTATTTACCAAAATAAATAAATCTGCCAATGAAATGTCAGAAAAATGAATTAAAAAATTGGGGTTTATGTGGTATTAATTGCCAGTAATAAGGTTGCTGTAGTTAACAGCTCAGCAGTGCCTTTCCTGGTTCCAATTTGTATCCAGATGCACACAAACCTGGATCGCAGTCTGTCATTGGGCATGTTTTGCAAAGTTATACTTGGGTGATAAGTGGGTTAACCTTTGTTAATCCAATCCAATTCTCTTTTTGTCCAATTCACTGAATATCTCCTCATGGTCTGCTGTCTGTTGTGTGTGTGCACTGTGTTTTTACACAGCCTGTAAATAGGCAACGAACAAAGTAGCTCGGAGTGAGCCACACAACACAATACCAGCCAAACAGCAACAGGTGGCCACATACCGACCTCTATCCTTAGATAACTTTCCTTCTTCCAATCCAACACCTATAATTACTTCATGAAGGGAATACAAATTCATTTCCCCTTTTGAAGCCAGCAGATGCTCCAGGTATGCTGATACATACCTGTGACACCTGCTTGAGCCGCAAACAACTGTTGTGTTCACAGTTAGTAGTTTACATGAGGCAGAAGTAGATCAGTGAGCATCAAGAGTCTTAAAAGATTTTATTTTTTACAGTGACAGTGCACTGCTTAGCCACATCCCTCTGCTGCTGTGCTCCCCGTGGTTGCGACACACCTCGACATGCACAGGGGTGCGAGGGCCCTTCATCACTGCTTGCAGTTTTCATTATGATTATATTTTGGTAAAATGGTCAATAAGGCCTACTCCATTGCTTTTCTTACGGACACTGAACCTTTCCCTAGCCTTAACCCAAAGTGCTTGTGTTGCCTTAATGTTCAGGAATCCTAATACAGACAACAATTATATCTTTCTATACATTTCTGCTTTTAAAAAAATTATATTAATGATACATTATCTTAAACTCAATGAATGAGGTTTTCTAAAGTCATGTATTGTATGTTTTAAATATTAAAGAGATAAATTACTCACGTTACATACATATAAACGGATACATATCTGCTTTTAAAAAGAATACATTTATATGAGAGAATGAGTTTCAGGAGAGATGAAGCTGTCTGGAGCTGGTCTCCAGCCATAGTTTGTCTTATGGGACTTTAAGGGGGAGGAGAGTGGGAGGAGGTGGGAAGTGAGAGTCAGAGCAAGAATCTGCCACAGAGGAACGAAGATGGGCATAAAAGAGAGGCTGGATGCTCAGTGTTGAACATCCACCCATTTGGCGAAAAAAGATGACTGAAGAACCAAAGGAGGCTCATCAGGGAAGCTGGGCGGCAACGCTTCAGCTGACGTCCTCATATCTCCAATTTATCTCAAGTTCATCTATAACACCCTTATTCTGGATTCTGTTTCAAACCTCCTCTATTCTGTCCCTTTCTGTTTCTCACATGCTCCCCCTCTCTGTCCTCTCCTTCTTCCTTTCTGCTTCTCATATCCTCCCACCGTCTCTCTACCTTCTCCACCCTCTCCTCTCCTGCCTCCTTAAGATTTTATGATTCTCTTTAATGATAGATGAGCTGCACTTGATAGCATATTCTCCTTTGCTAGAAATCTATCCTTCTCTGAGACCCTGGATCAAATACTATTCTGTCATGTGTGTTAACTTGGTACAGTATATTTGTTTACAGTGTAGTGGCTGATTATAGGAATAGTTGAGACCTGGCCTGAGGCTTTGTTTCCATTGGAAATGTTTGTGCCAAGCTGGACACATGATGTGACATGATAAATAATAGAGCATATTGTGGATGCATTAGAGATGGATACAGTGGAATACTGCAGGATACTGAAGGTTGTATTTATATAAATATTCAGCACTGTGCTGTTTGAGAGCCTCCAGGCTGCAAGCTGCTTAAAAACCTTCATTGATAACAAGTAATGGCATTCATCATCAAGTTCAAAAGTGAGCAGTAAATTTCTCATCCAGCAAATCTTCTATCAAAGTCTGAAAAGAGATACAGTCATGTAAAAACAAACATTAGCCTTCGCAATAGACATTTGTTTTTTCATTATGTGTTAGTAGTGTGAGTAAAACTGACCTATTACCTATGAGTGGTTTTTAGTTGAATGCAAAAAAACAAGAAAACAGCTAATAGACAGCAAAAGATGGACTACTGGTCAAATGCACTGACTGAAATGCAAAACCTCAGAACCTACCAATTCTTGTTTTATGACAGTTAACCCTTTACAGCTTTTTAACATGTATCACCCACTTCACAGTGAGTTTGAGCTTTTACCCTCAGGTTGACGTTTTAAGGCCCTGACACACCAAGCAGACAGCAAAGAGCTAGTGTCGCTTTTTTGTCTTGGCCAAAAAGCTGCACTAGAAGACACTGCATAGACTACAGCCGATGGCCAACCACCTCGTACGTTCTGCGCATGCGTGAGAGGAAATAACTCTCCACGTCAGCAAGCCGTGCTGTTCCGTTGTTATGATACGAGAAGATAATTTTTCACACCACGGTCGTGCACTACTCGTATTACAGGTAGCCTACTAATCGAGAACAATGTCTGATAAAATGTTGAAAATGGCACTGGCGTTGTCAGCCCTTGGTCTTTTAGTGGAAAAAGAAAAGAAGAGGCGACAAATAAGAAGAAACCGCACTTATGGATGAAAGCATGGATACTACAGCGACATGCTCAAGCGGCTTTCCCAAACCCTTGTCGAGTGCTCTCACAGACGGCAGGCACCGAGTCATCACCAAAAAAGGGCCGACTGATAGCGACGGAGCCGGACACACCGCAAAAACTAGGGCGACGACCAACAGCCTCCATTCTGCACTTCAACTCCATCCTCACATCTCAAGTTGGCATAAGAACTTTAAACAGTGACCAGCTCATAATCGATGAAGTCCGGCCTAATGTCTTGAAATATAGGCTGTCATACCCATGAGATAATCAGTGCTCACTGCTCAGACATTATATGGAATTAAGAAGAAAAACTTTGTGCACTTATTTAACAATATTCAACGATATGATGCACTGAAAAATATCCACTTCTAATCATTGACGGTTTATGCGTTTTTTACAACCTCCCGTTGTACAAATGTTAGGACATTGGATGTGTGCTAATTTATTGAACATATGAAGTTTGCGCAGTAGGGATTGCTTGTTGTTTCTAGGTTCACCCACCACCATAGCCGGTAGGCTGAACAGATTCACCCGACACTGCACAAAACAACCGCATTTAGCTGGTGGCAGACGCCAACGCAATGCATCGTAAAAATTATTAATTTCCACATTGCCACTTATGTTTTTGGCTTTACTTTTAGGGAGCTGTCATGTTGTCTATCTTTTTATGCAGTCAACAACATTGACTCATTTAAAGACAGCAGTTTTCCTGCATGTGTCGTAATCCCATCATTAGTTTAATGGTTCCTCACTGACTATATGCGTCGTGACAGGCCCTCTTATGTGACATTTCTTCGTTTCATTAATTAGTAAAGCAACACAAGTGAGCTCAGCAAATCATGATTTCAGACTGTCCTCATTTTGAGGCCATCGTCATCTTTTACATGGCTGCAGACATCAGCTCTATCACTTCAACCAGCTGGGTCTTAAAAATTGTATGCTTTCTCAGTATGTGTTAGTCTCTTCAGCATCTGCCAACAATGACATGACATTAGGTGAAGTGTAAAAAAAAAAGTAGCCTGTAGGCATGATTTTGAAACAGTTAAAGCATGTGACATGACTGTGAAAGATGTGACTTCACACCAAGGGCCCCTAAGTGTTCCTAATGAAGGGGCTAAATGAAACAAAACATTAAATAATTGAATTAATTATGTATTTTAATTTGTTTTTAATTTTTATGATTTATGTTTCATGTTTTTATTTGCTGTTTCATATGATTGTTGACATATGTTGTCACTTGTGTTTTTATGCTCTATGTGAATTCATTCATTCATTTAAAGCCTTAACACTAAAATATTTATTTTTTTTTGAAGCCAATATAAAATGGCTTTTTAAAAATAATAATAATAATAATCTTTATTTATAGAGCACTTTTCAAAAACAAGTTACAAAGTGCTTTAAAAGGACAGCCAATGAAAAAACAGGCAGGTCATAGAATAATAAACAAGGCAAGATTAAGAAATAACAAAACGATAAGATATAAAATCCATTTAAAAGAACTGTAAAATACATACAATTATTTTAAAGGAATTAAAAAAAATGAAATTCAAGTTACTTTTAAAAATCAACTAAAATCAGGAAAGGCTCGCCGGTTAAAGTGTGTCTGAAGAAGGGACTTAAAAAAGATGACTGACTCACGGCTACACCTAATGCTAATTGCATACGGAAGGACAATTATTTATTATAAAACCACTAATAAAGCACATATTCTGTCTTCTGATGAAATGTAATTTTGAACTTGCAATGACATATTTAATCACTTTGATTTCTACATCATCATGTCTGCTACTGTTCTCTCTGTTTGCAAAAGGGTTATTTATAGTCACAGAGGGGAAGAGTGTGCTATTACATTTTGAGGCAGAGAGAAAGAGTTAGATTGACACATCAAAGAAGGAAGTTATGAATTATTATAACATCGTGCTTGACAGTTCACGTACAGAAAAAGCAGAAAGGTTTGATGTTGTGGGAGGGGAAAGGGGGACAAATTTATCACCAAACCTAGGTCCCTCTGCACGTACAAAACAATAAGACTCGCTGCTATAAAAATAACAAGAAACCAATGATAAGTTACATAAATAAGTAAACAATTCTCCAGTATAGCACAATAACACAACATACCTGCAAGGAATTCATCTTACATAAAACTCATCACAATGTGAAGAAACTACACATTTGTTCTCTGTTAGGTGGGGGTTGTTTCTGCTGTATAAATCCAATGAAGAAATCATGAAACAGACTGTAGATTATAACGCCATTTAATCGGCCGAGGTCAGACAACTCGACCAAACACGCATGCTTACAAATCGCTGACAAAGTATCAGTGTTCACAGTGCTGCTTATATTCTGTTGAAAGTTGTTGTTGACAACATATGGTTGGCTCCTACACAAATTAAGATCTGCTACAATTTAGGTGTTTCACCCATATAAGGTTACAGCTTCAGAGACCCAAAGTATGAGTGCTAACAGGTGGTAGACAGACTTAAAAAGTACATTTCACAAAGTTACCAAGATGAATGAATTTCATAAAAATTCGTACTAACATTCTCATAGTCGAAATGTCCATAAGGATAATATGTCACTTGTAAATGTTCATCACCTGGAGGTTTCAGCTTTGAATCTTAATTCTTTTCATTTTGGCATGATGTGATATTGATAACCAAGGTGGAGGCGTCATCTGTAAAGTCCAGCATGAATATTGAAAAAAATGACATATGTGATTAAAACTCAGTCAAGCTTATCGGCAAGATAATTATCCACAGCAACAGATGGCTGTAAAGCCAACGTCTCCAGACAGGATCGAGTCCAAAATGATGTGTAATAACTATGGATAAAACTTCTATTGAAAAGCAAGTCTTGGTGTTAGACTCTTAGACTGTTAGGTAGTAGACTTTATGTGTGGATTTCATACCACATGTGGTTTTTATGTGCTTGCTGTGAGATTATAATGAAAAAATTATGTAAAGGTAGGGGGTCTGCATGACTCAGCTAGAGAGAGCTCAGTGGTATCACCCTCCAGTGTTCAGTTAATATAGTTCAATAAAAACATGGGGGTCAACGCTGTAACTACAGTATATTGCTCTGCTGACAAGCATGATCTATTAAGTGGTAAGAAAAAATGCAGAGAGTAAGTAAGATGTGTAGTATACATCAGTTTATTTTCTGCCAATCTTGTATTTTTTCACCCTCCAAATGAGCCTGTTATTCTGGAGAGACTCTGGTCTACTGTGAGTAGACTGGCTATTGTTCTGTCTTGATTTCTTTCTTTACAATATCTGGGTGTTTGTTTGTTTGTAAACAGCTTTATACTTGATACCAGTTCAACGTCAGCCCAGATACAAACACTCATTGTCAAGATTTTATTTAATTCCCTGGGAACAACATTATGAGGATAAGAAGATTTAAATGTGTTAACATTCTTTAGTTCACTGAAACACAGAGCACTGACCGAGGAGAGGACTTGTTGTGGAGATTGCTGTGCTTGATGTTTGTTAAGGAGAAGAAGAAGCCTCAGTCTTTATTTATTGATTTCTTAAGGTAATTATCTCAAATATTTTCAGTGGAATTAATATAAAGTCACTTTATCGCTGAATGAGTAAACACAAAGGTGATTGAGTGTATGCTCCACTGGTGAAAGCCCTTACAAATACTATGATACCAAATAATCTACACTGGGTGACAAGTTGACTCTTGAGACTAAACAATGTAACCTTTAAGTTGTTTTTATGATCTCCTCCAGCTCTGGAAATATTTACAAGTGTCCTCAAGCAGCAGAAGGTCCCCAAACACTGTTCTTGTTGTCTTTAAGTGGTATCACTATAGCTGTGTAGTTTTCAGATGTAGTTGTGTTTTATAGGCAGAACACATCAGCTGCTGGGTTGCTGACAACATAAGCAAAGTCTCTGTATGTGTTGGCTCTGTGGCTATGCTGCAATGTCTGACCAACATAATAAATACAGTATCTTTAGCTTTTATATGTGTAATGAACCATGCTATGGCAACTCAAACAGAAAGGGGTTTAAATAAATAAATCATAGCTAATCATAGTAATAAATGTCAAGTTTTGATGAATGTCTTCCAGCTTTAAGTAATCATTGTATTGTCAGAGTTATGTGTAGCTCACATCACATCACAGGATCGTAATGGAGCTATTCAGTCTAATAAATCTAAACTACTGGGCACTGTGGTACAATGTTATCAGTGTCCTTTGGGTGTTAAAACATGTTTGTGCATGTGTTATGTTGTGAACGTGTTTTTTCATCATAGTTAAACGTTCCCTCGTCACGTTTGATCCTCAGATGCAGGCTGTAGTCCTGGCTTCAAACCAAGTGTGTCTCCTTCCATCATTTACCTCCTTATTCGACATGTGTGAAACCTGACGCTGCTCTAAAGCCTTCGTAATGAGCACTTGACTTTCAAAAATGCGTTTCTAAGAAATGATCATCAGATGACTCTGAAATCTGTGTGTCTCTGTCCCTCTCTTGTGTCTCTGCAGGGGAAGAGGAACAAACCCGGGGTGGAGGCTGCCAGCTCTCCAGAATCTGTGAGAGGTCGAGGGGAAAATAAAGCCATCAAGTAGGTGTCAGACAGGTTTATATGCAGGTATAAAGAAATGATCTATGATGTGGTGATATTAACAATTTGTAATCGTCAGTTACTAATTAAAAAGCTAATCCTGTACAAGGTTGGAAATGTCCAACATGCCATGATTTTATTGATTATCAAAAGATTTGTCTAAATTTATCTTTTCCTGAATCACTTTTTTATAAAATGACTGTGTGTAGCCTATAACAAAGTAATTTAAAATGAAAGGTCCAGATGTAACTGAGTTGTCCAAACAACAAAAACAATATGATCAGTTTGAAATGCTTAAACAGAATGGACAGACAGACAGACAGACAGTCTGATGGATGGGTGGGTGGATGGAAAGAAGGATGCATTTTTTATTTGATATAAAGCTCTTAGAATCTTTGATAATTTTGTCAAAAGAAAGATTAAATGGTTTATTTAATGGAAAGATTAAAGAAGGTTAAATGTCCTGAATGTACCACTTTGAATCACGTAGTTAAATGTTTCATTTATTTTACCTGCTTTTGAAAAGTTGTTCCCTGAGCTCGTATGTATTTCATTTCTCCAATAATCCGATGTTTTTGTTTTCATTTAACTGTCTTTTGCCTCCTCTGTTTTATTTCTTGGTAAAAACATGACGTAACTTCTTCCTATCTCACTGTTTGGTGATTTATCATGTACCAACATTTCACTTGATCAGTTTTAAAGATATGTAACTTATAAAACAGCTACCCTGAAAATCTCTGCAAACTGTAATGGATGTAAGGTTACAACATGCAAAATGATGAATGAAAAATGCATTAAGCCTCTACTGTATGCTTCATGAACTGTTTTAGAATATGGATCTCTCCACTTGACCTTTATATTGATGAGACACTATTATTCAATATTTTTTTCCTCCTTGTTTCTGACATATTATTCTGTTTCTGTCTCATAGCTGTTTTTGCTGCCCTTACCTGTCTCACCTCTCCCTGTCGCTCTCTTTGGCCGCAGTGATCTAGACAGAGACTTTTGGAATAACAACGATAGCAGCAACGTGCAACAGAGGTGGAGCTCCTACCCGCCCAAGGAGTTCCTCTTAAACATGTCTCCTTATGCACCGTATGGAGACCCTCGCCTCACGCCCAAGTGAGTCTCTGTCACGGCTGGTAAGGGACCCCTCTGTCCAAGCAGGGCTGTAATGAAAAGGGGCTTACGTGCACCTTGGAAAACTCATCCGAAGCTGTGCGAGAGTAGCTGTCATAGTAAAAATTGGACGTAATTCTCACAGTGGATTTTGATTTGCACTGTTATTGGTGATTTTAATAAAGTCTGTTATTTGGCTACATTATCATTTGGAAAACATCGACAGAACAAACCAAAGGCTGATCAATATATCACTCTTGGCAAAGAGAAGGTCATATTTAATAGTCTAAAGGAGGGCAGAATGCCTCATTTTGTAACGCTGTCTGGACACATATCTTCAAACAGAAGTCTCCTCTCATCCCTGGTAATCCTCATGTTTTTTGCTTTCAGGCATGTCCTCAGTGAGTCGGTGTTTAGTATGCACTGCTGGCCATGCAGCACTTGATAGAGATGTGCACCATCCCTCAATATTACTGTGATTCCTAGGCCTGCCCTCCCACTGACATAAATATAACAATATTCCACATGATCGCTTTTAGATAGAAATTCAGCGTTTCTGTCTGCTACAAGCCAAGAGGAATTTATTTATAAACCCTATATGAAAACGGGCTTTAAATCACAGATGTTAATGAGAGAGAACATTTCATAAAGGATCAAATGTTGGATATCCTTTTTTTTTTCAGTCCTGTCTGCTAGTTTCAGCCAGAAAAGCACAGAACATCAAATCTGGGATGAAATCATTTTATTTTGCTTCCACACGGTGCACAGGGTGTACAAGTGAAAGGTTTGATAGCCCCTTTCCCTACAGCCCTGCTAGCCTCATCAGACCCTCTTTACCTCTCACCTGCAGCCCATGGAGTGTTACCATGGAGACGGACAACCCTCGGAGAGTAGATCTCACTGTTTCACCTGAACCTTTTCCCCCTATTTGTACAACCCATTCTCTGTTCTCGAAAACTGCTCCTCAGAATGCTGTAGCAAACAATTACCTCAGCATTCACTTGGTTAAGCCTGCAGGAGTCGTCAGAGGGTTGCCTGTTATTATTTAGATGTTTTTTGTCCTTTCTGTTTTTATAATTAAAGCAGTTATTGTAAAAAAAATGTTTTCAGAAGAATTCTCATTGCTTTCTGGCAGTGTGTTAGATGAAAAGATTAACACCACTTTCTGTCTCTTACTGTTGCAATAAATTAACATTAAGTCAAAAGCAAGAAGGTTAGCTTAGCTTAGATGGCTTAGCTTAATTTAGCTGAGCATGAAGTCTGGAAACAAGGGGAAATAGCCTGGCCTCACAGCTACAAAAACCTGCAACTGGACCCTCTAAAAATCACCAATTAACACATTGTATCTGGTTTCAACCAGATACTCAAAGGGTAAAAGCATAAATTTGCTGTTTAACAGAGGGTAACAATATAGTCAACATAGCCCACAAGCTATGCATAGGCAACAGTGGTTCAGGAGGTGGAGCAGGTTTTCACAAATTGGATGATGGTTTGATCCCTTGCTCCTCTATGGAGAAGATAGTGAACCCTAAATAAGGCTAACGCTGTGTGTGAGTGAGGGAAGTTGTTGGCAGCCGCTTGTTATCAGTGTATGAATGTGTGTGTGGAGTTTTCTGTTTAAGCACTTTGAGAGGTGAGAAGACGTAAAGGTGCTAAATATAGGAGCAGGCCATTTTCTGTGTCACCTGGTTCTAGTTTCATAATTAACATACCTATATTGGAAGTAATATCGATCTTCTCATCTAAGCTCTGCCAGAAAGCTAATAAGTATAATTCCAAATATATCTAACTGTTTCTTTTAATGGGGTGGTCTCTGTTCATTTTCTTTCACTATTGTGTTTTGTTTAGTCTTTTTGTGAGTGTGTAGTCATGTGTTTTTACTCCTCTCACCTCTCCATCCCCTCGCTATGTTTTCTCTGCTCATTTATTGTCACTACTCCCACTATCACTCAGCGTACTGTAAGTGCTTTAAGGCTGCTTGATAGCCCTCCTGAGTATGCTCCACTGAGCCCTGTTCCAAAAATAGACCCACTGTCTCTGTTGTGTATTGTTCAGCAATTAAGTGTTTGGATGGTAAAACGTCTGTTTCATATCCACCTCCATTTTTTCATTTAGCTGTATCTCACACATCACTGAGGCATTTAGTGAACCTGTTCCTTCGTATCCTCTCTAATTACACCTCAATTGACTCTTTCATAACCACAGTAATCAATGACTCTGTGCTGTGTCTCTGAAGTGGTGTCTGAGCGATTTTAATATCAGCAGTGATCGTTGTGATGGCATTGCACTGTGCTACTTATATGGTAATCTTTTTATACTTGATCGACATTCAATTTGTCAGAGATAGTGGCATTTTTCAGATAGGAAACAGCAGATCTAAGAGGCAAATATTTTATACTCCTTTCCAATCAAATACATTTTTCAAAGCAAACTTTTACACTTTTTACACAAGTGAAGAAATGCCTGAGAATTATAATTAAAACACCATTGTAAAAAAACTAAACTAGAGCAAAAACCAAAAACAGTTGCGGTCTAGTTAAAGTGCATCCTTGTAGAAGGGATATTCAATCTGCTTGTAAGAATTCATTCATTTTACCTTCAGCCTACACTTAATGTCTAAATGTTGTTGAACACATCATCCTGGTGTGCAGCTGTGTGTTTTGGTTTGTCCTCACTCAGTGGGATGTCACTGTTCTGAAGTGTACAGTCTGTCTGTCTCTGGGTCCAGGCCATCTGGGGTGGATTTGTTGACATGATAACAAATGAGTTGTGGGATTTTACTGTGGAGAAAATGTTACACAAACTCATTAGATAAAAGTGCTTCTGTTTTCATTATGAGCTGCAGGTGAGCTGCTGTGAGATTAAAGAGACATTAGTGTTTTATTATCATCAGCTGCTTCTGTACCGTAAGAATGGGAAGGTGATGTATCCACATCATTACCAAGCTATTATGCCCTATTCATGCAGCCAGCAGGTTGGTCATTGTTGGCCCCTGTGCAGGAAAATGTGGCTGACATGCTGTGTCTGATCCCTGAAACTCTTTGGCCTGTTTCTCATTTCAGATGTATAAAAAATGATTATAGTGGCAAGGTGTTTGCTATGAAAAAGTAATCCATATTAATACTCTACTCTTTACAAGTGAATTGGGCCTTGTAGATAATCTTAAAAAACTGCTTATGTAAAGTTACCCACCGGCTTTCACTTTTTGCAGTTTTGAACAAAACAGTGTGCCTTTAAAGATATCCTTGTTCAGAGGGAACAGTTTTCTCTGATCTACTCCCAGGGTTAGACAGTATCACATGCATCTCTGCACAGACCTCTTCACTGTTTTTTTTATTGCTGTCTGGCTGGCTGACTGGCTACAGATGCTCCAGGTTTTTTGCTGTGAACTGGACACTTGTGGCTTCACTGAGAGCTCACACACACAAAGTGTCTTACTCACCCGTTTGACTAACTTTGCTGATGACTCTTCTGCTCTCCGGCGTCTGTCTCTCGTCTGTACGTCCCTCTTTCTCCTGGTCCTTTCTTTCTGTCTGTCCGTGTTTCTTGTTACTACTGTTCCTCCCAGTGGGGCTGCAGATAAGGGTGGGCAGGGTGGTGCTGGACCCTCGCCGGGGGCCAGCAGCAGCGGGGGTGGTGCTTGCTCTGGGACTGGGGCGGGGCCCAGTCGCAGTGACAGTGTTCGGAGCATGGTGACGGGGGGCAGCAAGGCCGGGCGCTGGCAGATGGTCCAGAGCCACATGCATGCCGGAGGCCTGCGATTTGGCAAGTGAGTGGCACATGGTGACAAGGTATACGCATGAGGGTCTTCAGGGGGACAACAAAGCATGGTGTGGATATCAAGGAAGAGTGTGAGTTTGTAAAATCATCATGAATGCCATTGTTGCATGAACACAAGATAGACATGAACAGAAGATATGTTTGACACCGTGCAGATGAAGATGTGAGGCAGACCTGAAGCCAGCTGCTGCAGAGTGTACCTGTGTGCATGAGTAACTGCTTCTTGAAGCCTCTTGACTACAGAGGGATTCGTCACTCATAAGCAAATACTATTTTTATGTCAGCTTCAAACCTTCCACCAGCTGATGTCAGGACTGTCTCCGACACAGTCGTGCTGGGTCTCTGCACGCTCAGAGTTTCTGTAGGCTGTGATAGTTTTTGTGTATTTCAAACAAGACAGATGCTTACTCAAAATCTTCAAATGTGTGTGTTTGTTCATCTGAGGTTACAGCTTTTTAAATTCAATGTGGGCTATGAGCCTTTTTATTAGGCAGTTCAACTTTTTATTAGGCAAGCTCAAGTTTATAATCAAAATTCTCTGACTATCGACCTGTGGTTGAGTTGCAAAGTAGAAGAAACTAATTTGTGTGTCCCTGGTACTCAAAGTAAACTCCCCTTCATATTTCCCATGGCTTGTGTCAATTGTTATGAGCATCAGGTTGTTGATCAAAAGCAAAAGGTGTGTTCTTTGAGTAAGACTCTAAACACGTCTGACGGATTCAAACTTTTATACGCCTGTTCATCATTTGTTATAATGCATTATAGAGACAAGCGCCATAGAAAGTATTACCAAACTTTTAGCTGCAACTACAGACTACACATGATTCCTTAAAGAAAAAAATGAAATGATTCAATCGAATGCTCATTTACATAATATGTGAGAGTCCAGTATTTCTATGTTAAATAATACTGAAGATTTTGCTTGTAGAGAAATTCAAAATGAACACACAATGGGAAAAAGACACTCTGGAACCGGCACCTCAAGTAACTTAGCAACTCTATGAACAATGTTGTAACCGCACGAATCAACAAGATAATAGTATGGTCAAGATTTGAGGGATACCAATGATTTCACTATATTGGAGAAGTTGAAACCTTAAGTAATTGAGATTCCAGATTTCCAGCAGTTCACATCTTTTTGACTTCTATCCCATTAAAACAAATTAAAGTCAACTTGCTCTGTCATATAGTTTTAGTATGTATTACTAACGATTCACTGTTTGATTATAGATGTGTTACAAATTAATACTTAAATGCTAAAAGTTAGTTAAAGTTTGTAAATGCTTAAACAAAGGGTGCTCGTTACATGTTTTAGACAAAAAACCAGCAGCACATTAAAGGGACTATTAATCATACATTTATTATTATTTGCATAGGCTTTGTTATGGTTTTGCTTGTACAGTTATTCAGTTAATTTAGAGCAAATGTTGAAAAAAAATAATAAACCAGTGTACGAGTAGACAGATCAGTTCAAGTTGCCTCCCATTCGTTCATCCGTTCATTCATTGTAAAAACATTATATCTGTTATGCTGAGTGCCCTTGTTCTAATAGAGTAGACCGATTTGTAAAAAGAGAGGATGGTTATTTGTCTCTTTATCAGACTGTTTAGCTTCGATATTCTTTTCATACATGTATACTCAATACTGAATGTATAATTTGACACATTTAGCTGATCTCCAAATTTGAATTAAATTTTGTAGTAACTCCGTTTGTGGCTTTTTAACAACATGTCAATTATACTTGTGCTTAAACTTCTCCTGTCACTCTTCTGTTTTGCACCCTGTCTCATCTACTTGTATTTCCATTTCGCCACTGGAATTGGTTTCTATTTTGGAGCATTTTACCTCTCCATCGCTCTGTCTCTGTACCGCTCCATCTCCACCCCCTGTCTCTCTCTCTCTCTCTCTCTCTCTCTCTCTCTCTCCCTCTCTCTCTTCATCAATTTTCACTTTTCATATTTTTTTTATTTCTCGCTCTGACTCTCTCTCTTCTATTTTCCCCCTCTCAATTTTCCTTAATTACAAAATCATTCAAGGTTTATAGTCATCTTAATTGACTTTCAAGCAAGACAGAATGTAAAAATAACCCTCGAAGTCTGTAATCGGATACAGCAGATAAAGAGGGCTCACTCTCAGGAGCATTTAGGTGACTGCTGCCGGTGCTATACTAATTCATACAGACAACAATAAATAACCAAGGTGTTTTAAAACACAAGTGGGTCCAACGAAGGAAGGAAATCACTTTGATGCACAGACTTTGTGTTGGAGAGCCCTGACAATGTTCAAAAACCAAAAAAAATGCCGGAAGTGTAATATAGAACTTTCTATTAGAGTGACATTGTCTGTGTCTTTATCTTTATCTGTTTTGGCCATAAACAATCATCTGTCTCATATTTGTATTCAGTTATCAGTCATATGTAGGTTTATAGTGAATTTAGCAAATTTGCATTTTCAAAACAATATTTGTTATTTCTATATCTGCATTTCTGAAAAACATATTATATATCTGGGTTATTGAATCTGTCAGTTTCTTATCTATATTAATATATATTCTATATTTTCAGTAAATACTTTCAGTAGCATCTAGTTACTGTGACCAAAACATAGTTCTGTGGTTTTTAATAACATTTGGCTTGAGTTTATACATCCTTGCGTCTGATTGGTTAACTAAGTAACGTGATAAGTAACGAGGAAGTGTTGTTGTGAAGCAGACAAAATGTGGCAGACAGTTAAGTGCTGCTGAGATAGTTATCCATCTCCATCCTGCCGTTCCTCTTGATGATGATCCATCCATCACACATGCTACACTTCAATACCCATAAACCCCAGCTGCAGTTGTTTTTGAAAATTATCCATACAGGCCACAGTCAGCAATGCTTTTTTATGTTTATTTGAACAAAAAACTGAGCCCAAATTGCCCAATAAAGAATACTTTGCTCTGTATTTTAGGTGGTGTTATAGATTTGTTTAGCTATTAACATCAGATATAAGACCTCTTTGCTCCTTGACTAAGTATAACTTTTTATCCAAATGTACCTCATGAGACACTACTGTGCTAATAATACAATATGTACATAGGAACCCTGTTTATTCTTTTCTTACTTTTAGATGGTATTTGGTATTCTGTTAAATTGATAATTCAATGCCTCAGAAATGTTCCAGCTCACAGTTGCCATTGTTTATGCAGAAATGAAACAAGAGTTTTACTTCTGCAACCCCAAATGTCCAAATTATCTCCTCCCATTCCCAAACTCTTTATAACTTCTGCTCAACAGAAGTAACTACTTACAAACCTTATCTCACAGTTTCCAGTTTAAATAATAATCACAAGTAAACAAACATTCTCTTCAAAGCCCAGCCTAAGGAAAGCCCTAATTGTCTTAGCGTGCGTGCGTGCTTGTGTGTGCGTGTGTGCGTGTTCTAGCGTGCGTTTGTGTGTTTGTGTGTGTGTGTGTGTGTGTGTATGTGTGTGTGAGCATGAGAAAAAAAAGTGCATGCTTGGGTGCATGTATATGAGCTCTGTCTTGTATTTATTTGATCCAGCGTTGCTCTGCTCCTCAGGGTGCACGTCTCCTGGCTCTCCAGCAGAGTTAGAGCCCAGTTAATACTGAAGAGCTGCGCTAACACAACTCAAGTCTAGGCAGTAAATCCTCCCTCGCAGCGTTAGCTTCAGACAGAGCTGTTTAGCACGAGCTTACAGTTATCAGGCAGGCCAGTGATTGAGCGGAGGATAAGGAGGTGAAGCGCTATTACATGATTGTAAGAGTAGCAGGCCGGTAATTAGAGAGCGGACTTAAAGAACAGTGATTGGAGACGGCGTCCACAAAGATTGATGAGAGGTCTGAGGGTGAGGAAAAGATGAATGGACAGAGGAGATAGAGAGAATCTGAGCTCAGAGGCACCATGGTGAAGGGAAGAGTGGGAAGGAAAGCATAGCAGGAGCAGACGGGCCCAGAGGGAGCGAGGGGAGAGAGCAGTGGAAGCAAAAGGCAACAGGGCGAGAAGGTAGAAGTAGGTCAGGGTTAATTAGGGGATGGGAGAGGGAATGCAGAGAAACAATTTAGCGCTGCAGATGGAGATAAACTCTATAAGTTAGAATTACACCTGATTTTAATTTTACTGAGGTTAAGGTATGTGTTGACTCAAGTAGATTATTTAACCGTTTCTTCATTGCATGCAGCCAAAAAGTCCCAAACTGTCTGACAACATAAGCTCAAAATTCTGCAGAATTATTTTCATACAATTGTTGAACAATAATCTTAAGCTTTTTGACATTTCTCTTCTTCTTTCTCTCCCTCTTTCACTAAACAAATTTGTTTTTTGTTCTCTCTTGATCCTCTCCCTCCCTTGACATTCAGTGCAAACAATGTGCTCCCCAACATTTCAATCTCTGCTGTATATTTTAATATACTCTACATACTTATCCTTCACATGTTCCTCTTCACATCAGCATGATCATGTATACTCTCATCTTTTTCTAAACCCTGCCCTGTCCCTGTGTCCCTGAAGCTTTCTCTAACTCAGATGTCTCTCCTGTTGTATCCATCCCTCTCCTCGGTGCTCCCGTGTCTCTGCTCAGTTTTGGGGACGCCTCCCTCTCCTCTGCCTCCACTCTGGAGCATATCCCATCCTCTGCAGTGGCTCGCCCTCGACCCCTGGTCCGGCAGCAGAGTCTCCAACAACCTCTCACCCACCAGCCCCCTCCAGGTCCTAATGATCCCCCAGTCACATCACAGAGCCTGGGCCAGCTGCACACGGGCCCTGGTGGCGGTGGTCACCGTGGGGGTCCTCGCGGGGTTCGGGGGAGTCCAGCTGGAGCCTCCCGGTACAGAGGAACAGGGGCAGGCCGGTCGAGGTCAAATCCTGGCAGCTGGGATCACATGGTAGAGCAGATCCGTCACAGAGGGCTGGACGTCAAGTCCTTCTTGTAAGTGTCATCACGTTTTCTACTCTGTCAAATGTTGAATCATAAAACCCTGAAAGAAGGCGATGGTTATTTCCAATTTAAGAGCTGCATCCTTTGGAGTGCATTTTAATGTACATTACATCAAACGGCTCGCCATTTCAAAGGCTACTTCATATGCGCCCTCCTTTCCTCCGTCCAACGAAGTATCTACCTGTTGTATCCTATATGGTCCAGTATATCCTGAGTTTTAATTGCACAGCATTTTTGTAAACCTTAATAATCAAAGTCTGGAATTCCAATAACATTGGGCATACAGCACACAATTACAGGCTAGACATGCATTAATGGAAGAAACAAAACAGAATAAAATGGAAACATAAAAATGTATTTAATAGAAAGCAAAAATAAACCAGAAGTCTATTCAGAAATTAACTTGTTATAGCTTTATAAATCATAAAGGCTAATTTAGTTTGAACACGTCAGGAAGGTTTTTTGCTTACTCGTGAAGATTCTAAACAGTGGCCTGGTCTTCACAAGTCTACATTTGTGGATGAATTGTTTGGCCTTAATAATTAGGGGGTGTACATCTGTTGCAGCTGTTGAGGTTGCTAGGCGACGGGCACAGGGGGCACGAAAGGGTGGGGACATCTGGTATTACCAATCGGGATCCTGTTGTAGTCTAGACCGTCGTATTTCAGTTCAGCTTAAGTGGTCTACAGAAGTCTACCAAGTTCTTTCTTAGGCTACAGGTCCTTCAAAGATACAACCACTGGAATGAAACACAGCTATGAATGCTGCTCTTACACTATTACTGATACAGGGTGAATGACATCCCTTTCTTATGTCTTATACTGCTAACTTTATCTTTTGGATTTCAGCTCACTGCTTTGCCAGCTTTTGAGATACAACATTATATTTCATCAAACACAACAGTGCTGCATTAAATTCAAACTTTAGATTTTGTTGAAACAGTTTTAGAAAGTTAGTTCAACATGATTTTCATTATACTCAACATGATTTAAGGCTGTTCTGTAGTTTGTGTCGGAGCTGGAAGAAGCATTTCGATCCTTGATTTTGTGTCAGTACACCAGAAGTCCTTCATGCAAAACTGTAATAGTAGCAGTAGCAGTAGTAGTTATTGCTACTGCTGCAATAGTAGTTATTCCTTCAGATGCAGTTTCACGTTTGTTTACACAAATTCATCACTGATTAATTATTACCACCACTGTAGAGCTTGGCAATTCATGGAGTTTCAATTACGATTTTGGATTCCCACGGTCATGAAAACAAGTTAATCCAGATGAAACGAATACTGTGCCGCATGCTGTTGTTGCGCTAGTTTTGTTGAAAAGGTGTGGTTAATTTTTCAGAGTTTGTTGTTAAATACTACCCAGAAGATTACATCACCACTACCTCAAAACCATAGTTAAATGATGTATTATTATATTTTATTATTTGTTTATATTTATATTTTTTCTCTTATATGTTTATCTATTTCTTTTTCTTCAAAATATTCAGAATGTTAAAGAGCAATCGTGTTTAATAATTGTTATCAAAATATCAATCAAGTTAATTGTGATTAGGATTTTTGCCATAATCGAGCAACCCCTCACCTGACTGTTGGAGAAATATAAACCAGTTTCAATTGTGGAATGTTTAAAAAAAATAATCATTCAAACAAAGTAAAAAAAAACTTTTTGATTGCATAATATTTTTGAATATCATTGTGATGTATGATGTAGAATCTACATATATATATATATATATATATAAGTATAGAGCATTGAAAACTGACTTCTAATTATTTTAAAATGTAAACATACTTAGCCAATAAAGCTGATTGCTAATTTGATCCTGAAATACTTGAGCCTTAGTTATATCCGCTTTATTAATAAACAATTAAACCACAGTAAATATATTCACTTAATATAAAGACTTGATCCCTCTCACTTCATAAAATATATATTTTTGCACAGGCTAACAGCAGTTAGAAAAAAGCAAAACAGTAAAACCTGATGAAAATAACTTAAACCCAAACCAAAACAGGGCTCAAACTAATATTCTGTCACCTGTTGGTTAGCAAAGATCATCCCATTTTTTACAATGCCAATAATAATCAAATGAATTCTCTACTGAGGAGGACGGCTGCATATATGCAAGCCTACTGATAGATAAGAGCACCTAGAGCTCTGCCCCTCTGCTTGACTTGAATGATAGATTGCAGATGATGTGCTCCACAAAGCAGCCTCACGTGCCCCCCATCTCCTCCTAACCATGAACGCTCACATGCATCCCCACACACACAGCGCTGCACTCCTGGACTTTTTGCGTGTCTTCCCATTAACAGTGTCTCCAGGCCAGTGACCTCCCTGCCTTTGTGAATCATCATTCAAATAAGGCACATGTATATAAGGAGGTGGTATCGCCCTACTTTTCCCGTCCTCATAAATCTCATTGGACAAAACATATCAGATGTTGACCCTGGAGGGGGAAACATGCGATCAGGAGTTGGAGTATCATGCTTTTGGGACTGGTTGGGTATGAACAAAATAATGCAGCGGTGTGTCCATGCATGTCACACTGTGTGAACACTGACCAGCACTGCTTCTATTTCCGATCAATGGAGTCGGTGTAGGTGGTAATGATTTCAGAGCCCTCCGGTTAAAGTACGTGTGTCTTTTTTGGTCATCCATACAAATCCATTCACCTCATCGATGAGCGTCATGTTGTTACTGTTTACACATCCCCAGTGGTGTGCTATCTCTCAAGTGCTAATGTGTTCCTCTTGTTGTCAATATTGTTACAAGAAACAGTCTCTTCTTTCACAGGGAGAGCACTACAGAAAGAACTGAAAGGCTGCAAAAGTAAATCCCAAGTGTGAGTTATGGAGAGATGAGAGGAAAAAAATCAAAGAAAAACCAGAGTAGAAAAAGATTAAACTTGATACAAAAAACACATGATGTGCTTCTTTATTTTTATTTTATGTTTGTTATACTTAACAAAGTCCACAAGAAACATTTGTATTCAGTTCTGCTGTCTTGTCATGATTAAAATTGCAGAATTTAAACCTTTACATTTTGAAAAAAACTTTGAGTACATATAATTGCTCTCTATGATTACATTTGGATCTGACTTGTATAATCCCATGTAACCATCAAATAATTCCACTATATTAAAGATATTACTCACACAATACATCTTAAATAATGCCTTTGGAGTTGGTGCAGTGTCATGTTAAAGCAAAGGAAAAGAATAATCATGTTGAAAATGCCCTTGAATCAAATAATTGTGGTAAAGAAACAGATGTCCTTGGATCAGCATGCTCTGTAAAAGGATGTACGGAGAAAAATAGAGCATGATGGGAAAGTTTGAGAAGCCAGGGTAGCATAAAGCCTGTGCCTACATACAGTATACAGGTTATTTTGTGACTGTGAGCTACAAGGTTTGGTGCAGGCAAATGCTATTTTTTTAAAGCCACTGTGTGCATAGCTTCTTCAATTCACAGTGCAGCATCACTTCAGTAAGAAGTCATTAAAATTACTTTGGGCATGTTTAAAGGAGACTTACTGAAAATCAACATGATTTGTTCCTTTGTTGTAGGTTTTTTGAGGCCACCTCAATTGTCATGGATTTATTTTTGCTTTTCCTTTTATTTCTGTTGTGTTATTTTGAATTTTCTCTTTTTTTTCCCTCTCTGAAACATCCCAAAGTCTTCTTTCAGGAATCTGCTTCTCTATTTTTACACATTAATGTTTCTAGGAAACAGATCAAAGAAAAGGATAAAGGCATGGCGTCATCAGTTATTCTAAGCCCCTTCTGCTAATGAAGCTCATTTCAAACACATTTCTATTTAGACAATATTAACAGTGGACTTTAAGAGAAAGGGAAAATAATTTGAATCCCCCTCTGTGCTTTGAAGAACACTTGATTCACTCATGCATTATATAATCTCATGTTTTGTAATGATGAATTGCAAGAAAAGAGTGTGTTATGAATCCTTCTCAAAGGTTACATTAAATATTGGCCCATGATGAATAACACTCCTTTCTTCCCCTGCTTTTTAAAAAGATGCATTATGCTATCAAAATACTAATATATGAAGAATATTTCTAGTAATGTTAATGCAGCAGCACACACTACATTAAGTAATCAGAGGCTTTTAATGGCACACTTTCAGTCTCACAGAGTTCATCATGGTAAAATAGTCTTTAGATGTCCTTACAGTGAACACATGCTTTTTCTTTTGAAATTTAATATAGTCTCATTTGCTACAAACCATGGCATAAATAAATACCTACCATTAATTGAAACCATGAGAACTTTGAACAACTTTATTTTTTATGTCATACTTGCTATTTGCATTAACCTTCACACAGTGTATGTTTTGAATGAGGGGGAGAGAAAGTTTAAAGGATGGGCTGCATATTGATGCAGTGGTCAGCTCTGTTGCTTCACAGCCAAATGGTTGCTGATTCTAACCCCTGTTGGACAGGTGGCTTCCTGTATGGAGCTTGCATTTTCTCCCCGTGTATGTGTCGGTTCCCTTTGAGTACTCCGGCTTCCTCCGACAGTCCAAAGACATGCTTATTAGGTTTTTTGGTGACTCAAATCAATTGCCCCTAGGTGTGAATGTGAGTGTGACTGGTTGTCAGTCTCTTTATGTTAGCCCTGTGATTGACTGGCATCCATTCCAGGGTGTACCCCGCCTCTTGCCCAATGACAGCTGAGATAGGCTGCATCCAGGCAAACAGGCAAAGCTTTATAGAAAATGGATGGAGTGATGAAAGTTTAAAGGTTTTCATGATATATAGTCATAATAATTGTAAAGTAATTGAATTCCTTATACGGTTTTATTGGTTTGTAGGTGCATGGTTTGTTGTGTAAATACGCACATAAAAAGCCATGTTCAATAGTGGTAACAGCAAGTGATCCATAACATGTTTTATATTTCTCTTGTACAAAATGGAAATGCTTGGAGTACAGTGTTACTTAAGTGTTCTATTAAAAACATCTGAAGTGTATCATCCACCCACTCCATAGTACAAATGTCTGATTGAGAGGCACTGCCAAGCTTTTTCTTATAGACATCACCTGTTTATGCAACAAATCCACATGTTCATATACTTACACAGGGGAATGTATCTGCACTTTAGAGAAAATAAATGTTTTCTGTTTTCATAATTAAATAAATAATAAGAAATAAGAAATAAATATCAGTAATATAAATGTGTTAAAAATGTGGAAGACACTGAAATTCTTGTACTGAAAGTTGCAGTAAAATATTCTCCAGATATGTAATTAGTTAGCTTTTTTGAAAACATACACTGTTTAAAGCATCCACTTACACTGACTTAAGCATCTTTGAACTTTTACATAGCTATGTTAAGTCACCTTAACACGGCTTTCTTTTAGTAAACTTTAAGCACATACTTACATTTCACTCCTCCTCCCACCCTCTATTTTTTTGTACATGGCATATGTGTGTTTGTTGTCTTCTCTGTTTTACTGACACGTGTGCTTTTGTGTCCATGTGGCTATACTTTTCTACAAGCTTGTGTGATCTGCTGTTATCTTTTGTGTCTGTGTCCAGTGAGGGGAAAATGGTGGTTCTGTCTCTAGCGATTGGGCTGGCTGAACAGGACGACTTCGCCAACCTGCCAGACCTACAGGAAGATCCAGCAGGCAAAGAAAATGAAACCACACCAGAAAAAAGGTAATAAGAGAGAGTGATGTGAGAAAAGCGACAAGTTTTAGGCACCTAAAAAAGAAAAGAAAAGTAATTGACTGTTTGTCAAGGTGGAGTGGTACTTCTAATCCTAGTTTGAATGGGAATTAATTATTTAAAGCAACCCTTAAAAACTCAAATCTGGGGGCATTGGTGGCACAGTGGTTAGTGTGAGTGCCCCATGTATGGAGGCTGTAGTCTTCCAAAAGCGGGCGGCCCAGCTTCGAATCCAGCCTGTGGCTCCTTTCCCGCATGTCATTCCCCACTCACTCTCCCTGATTTCCGACTCTATCCATGGTCTTATCTCTCCATTGAAGGCACAAAAAGCCCCCCAAAAAAAAAAAAAAAACATGAATCTGAAAAAAATCTGAACTGCCTTTAGTGTAAGCAAACTTTTTTATATCACACTTTTCACAGATAAAGGTCACAAAGTGCTTTACAACAACACAGTGGAATACACAGAATTAAAAATGAATACGACGGGGTGGCTCACAGAGCGACATTATAAAATCCTGCTATGACCAGGAACAAAACAGTAAAACACAGATACATCACAGAAGGTGGACTTTGTGGACATGAGACAGCAGAATGTTATGCTGTTTGTTCTGCTTATTATAAAAATCACTTCACCATGAATTTTAATTACAAAACCTTTCCATGTGTGGAAATAGAATCTGAAAGAGGTCAGTAGGATTTGGCAGTGAATCTCAACTACTTTTGTCCGTCCTAAATGTTTTTAGTCAATAGTTTAGAAAAATGTCCTTTTCTCATCCTTTTCAAAATAAACAGACAAATTAAAATTAAAATTAGATATTTGATTCACATTAATATTAATCAACAGGTGGATGATTCAAAGCCTTCTCTTAACCAAATTGGAATTATAGTCCTGGAGGAAATAAACTGTGTGGAACCTTGTCTTGTTAATTATATATACTTATCCATAGGCCATTATAACAATACAAAGGCCATGAGCTCACAACCTCAGTTGAAGCTGGTTGATATTGTTGAAGCAGTGGGTTTGCTATCCGTAGCCATGGCATCGTTTTATGTTTTCCAGCACTGAAATGCTTCTTTTCTTTATGTTAGCTTGTTTACCCTTTGCTTTCACATTCAGCTCTGTGTTTTATCATTTTACATTTTGTAAATCACCACATTTTCCCACATCTATAGTGCTCATTTTTGGTCCTCTTGTTCTCTTTTATAATGTCCTCTGTGTTCTCCGTCCAGACCTTTGTAAGTCTGCATGTCATGCAGCGCTCCACTGTTTGATCTGCTACTTGTAGGCCCCGGGAGAAGGGCACCCTCATTATTTAGAAGTGAGGTTCCTCACATGAAACACCCGTCTAAAAATATGCTAACCTCTCATCTAGCACTGATCTCAGAGTGGCTGTCAGAGACAAACACATCCTCTCAGCTGGTGAACAAAAGGAGTACACAGGCTGCCCTCTTATCACATCAGAATGTGTGAGGGATAAAGTGCTTAACCCACTGTTTTGAAGGAGATTGCTGTTTCTTTTTTCTTTTGGGATTGAATTTCTTAAAAAAAGTTTTCTCACAACCTCTCTGCAGTGCGTTGAAGTATGCTGCTCTAACTAGGTCATCTGAGAGTCTAGGCTGAAGAAAAAAAAAACAGTCTGAATTGAAAGAAACAAGCCTATCTTTGCAAACATATACTTGTATTGTTTTAGATTCGATTACAGCTATGCCTTTTTACGATTGCAAAATTAAATTTCAAATATGTATAGGTCAGTCAAGGGATGAGGACCAGCTTACTTCTTGTCCTCCCATCATCCTCTCTTCCTCTGGAGGTCTGTCAAGCATCCACCTCTAATCACAGCCGGCCAGTGAGCCTCTACCCAGAGGGGTCGTGCAGGCTAACTCGTCTAGTGTCCTTCCACCACTAATAACAGCTCTCCATCATCATCTCTGTCTGTCTCTCTCATCTCTCTGTCTCTGTTGTTACCCCTTAAGCTCCCAGCGCCCATCAGCTGGTTCGCTCCAGGTCGTTTTCATGGAGCCCGCGGACTGAGAACAATGAAACAGGACGATCTGAGATGTGACAAGAAACTGACAGACAGTGAAAGAATGACAGAAAAGTGGGGAAAACCTCTGCTTCCTAGAGAAATGTGTTACAAAATTAAAAAAAACAAGCAGTCCCATAGAGGTTTGAGTTTCTGTTGGTTTATTAATTAAATCAAAGACAGCAGGGAGTGCAAATGTATATACAAACATTAAATCCAATAATTGGAGAATAGTGGGGTACAATTAAAGCTGTGCAAGCTCGGTATAAGGTCAAATCTACATTTGATCAAATGATCCTTCTAGATATGAACAGCGGATCAAGTGGCGCTCTGTCCTTCTAAAACAGCTTTTAGTTATTTAGTCTATAAAAATTAATGCTGCATTCTCTGATTTATTTTCACAGAGGACAGAAAAACCTGTAAACACTGACATTTATTATCGTGAACCTCTGAGAAAACCGTTTCAAAAGACAATGCGCAGAAGAGCAACAGCACTATCCTGTTTGTGAATTACAGTTGTATTTATTGATGTGTATACATAACCTCTTGTATCTCATTGTTTAACTCCACAAATGCTACATTGTCTGTCTACCATTTGGTACTGAGCTGACATTTCCAGGTTATTTTCTATCAGAGATAAGGTTCACTACGACATCAGTCCGACTCTAGATGTACAGTATGTGTTAAGCATGCTGTTACACCTGTTTGAGATAGAGCAGTCCCTTCCTACATTTTTTGTAACAGATTATCACTATTAGGAATCAATTTCACATTATTTTGAGTCAATTGATTGATATGTTGTTTATATAAAACCACAGAGTTAAAAACTCTACATCATTGCATTGCTAGTAGTGACATTGTTATCAGCGATCATAATGATCTCATAAAACAGTTCAATTGTTTCTCCTGTTCAAAAGAAAATCTGTTTACATGAATAAGATCATGTGTGACTTGTCTACTCGTTCTGCAGCCTTGTGAAGCATTGGTGAGATACAGACAGATACTGTAGTGCGGTGCACTCAGACGTTAAGAACTGCTCATCTAAGCTCCCAACATAACACAGAGATATGATCTATTTTTACCGCCTGTCACTCAGTTAAAACCTAAAACCAAATTTGTGCAGACAGCTGATCTGAGGTGAGGAGGATGTGACAGGAAAATCATCCCTGAACAAACTTACCGAGTTTGTTATCACCCGTGTGTTGCGTTGTGTGAGGAGTTCACTGTTCATCTGTGATTTTGAGAGAACAGCGGCTGAGTAGCTGGTGCCTACAAAAGCTGTCTTGTTCTTATTACATCTGAGAGATAACATCCCATAAGACAGCAGTGTTGCTGTGATTACAGTTAATTATATTATTGTCATAGGACACATTTTGTTTCTCGCTGATGTGTTATCTGAGACAAAGCTGGTGATTTCTCGCTCTGTGTTAAGCCAAAGGGACTCTAATCTCTTATTCAGTTTGGGTCACTGTAGCAGGCTGACCAATTCCCTGTGGTGGACTGGACATAATCACCCACCTGCAGATAACTATTATGGAAGAGCTGTAGCTGTTTGTGTTATTATCTCCTCAGAAAGTTTCTTTTGCATGGAGGATCTGAACCTTAATGAGCTCAGCACACACAGAGACGCAACAGGGAAATAATTATGAAGAAACCCATAAGAGCAGTTTCTAGTATTGATGATATCAAAGTCTGCCTTCTTTCAATGCAACTCCAGAATAAATTGTACCCGGTACGGTCAATGTCAATGATGGGATGTTAAAAAGGAGATTGCTGAACTGAGGGACTTGTTATGTTTTTAACGCTGCTGAAAGTGAGTTGATATAAGAAGTGCTCTCAGTGTGGTTGCTCATTCATAACCTTTAGAAACATGCACCATGAGACTACAGAATGCACACGCTTGAGAAGTTTATCAGACAAACCTTACAGACATCATCTTTGGGAAAATGTCTCTAGAATTAAGAGAGGAAAAAGATTTTTCAAAGCCTCAAGAATTGAATGAAAATGTGTGAATCAGGGACTGTCACTCTTTTGGATACAAAAAGTAAACTTCATTTTTTTTCCTTAAACAACCATTATTTGGCATTTTGCGCTGTGTGATGGTGGTGTATTCTTCTGGGCTTTAAGGTCATTGTTTTGGTTTTATGGTCCATTGAATAATTTAGATTTTGGTTCAATCTTCCCTGACTAAATTAAAGGAACAATATTTAACTCTGACACAAAGCATTTAAAATGGGTACTGCAGGTCAAATTCAAAACATTGGAAAGAGCTGTCTCACCCCGACCCCTCCTCCAGGGGAGGGGGTGCACGCGGGTAGCCATGTCGCGGACACGGAAGCTTCGGTGTTTAGCCAGCTCTGCATTGGCCTTGAAACATTTCTACATTCTAACCTCTCTCTATTCTACAAAGGCATCTCCATATATCATCTCTAAATATCTCTGTTTGATGTTTTCAATAAGAGTTTAACAAATATTTTTAGCAGACTTTTTTACTAACCTCTTAAAAGATCAACTTTTGTTTGCAGACTTTTGGCGAGTTCTTGGGCTGTATAGATGGACTCAGACGGTTTAAGTGCTGTAATCCTGACAGTGGGACATTGTTCTGCACTTCTGCTGACTTGCACCGTGCCATACTGTACAGTATTAATCAAGCAGGAAGTTGTTGCCACCCTCTATCAGCTGGCATATCTGACTTTTTCAATTGTGCATCTGAGCCAGCAATCACAGTGAGTCAAGCTTCCTAATGACTCTTTGGGCCGCCCCAGGTCTCCACAGCAGCCTGTGGAGCCGGCAGTGGCCAGGGAGGAGAGATGATTGGAAAGAAAAAGCGATGTAGGTCAGCACAAACGAGGCATCTTTTTAAAAACCTGTCAGATCTAAGTCTGCAGCTCATTCAACATTTCCCTGGTTGCTGCTGTTGGCTAAAAGCTGGGAGCTGATTTAAGAGAGCCCATAGAGGGAAAGTGA